CTGTTTGGGGCACCTGGGGATGTACCGGATTAATCCCTCCTTAAAAGGGGGGTTAGAGGGGTTATATAGGGCTATATAAGGGTTATATAAGGATATATGAGGTTTACGGTTTACTACAGTATATTGAGGTCTATACTCTATACTGGGGTCCCCTATTTTGGGAAACTGCCATATATCCCAAGCTTCCGTTTCATGTTCTATCACTACTGCGATTGAGGCACAAGTTTGTTTTGGTTTCAAGTTTGTGGCCAAGTTTGCGCTAGGTGTTTTGCAGTTTTTTTTTTTTGTTTTGTGCTTCCTGTGTTGTGCTTAGTCGCCCGAACGTGTTGTGCTTTTTATATGCCGGGAGTTTGCTAGATTTTGTTGTTCCTTGTGCTTCAGAAAATGTTGTTCCAGCTGTGCCGTCCAGACAGCACAACTACTGGCCTCAAGGTTTTTTCTGCTCTGGCAAGGCGCGCTTTGTGGTTTGGAGTTGTGGTGTTTGGTGTGTCCAGCTAGTTTTTGCGGGTGTCCAGTTGTGCTTAGCGTGCCGGATAGACACAGATACAATGCCCGCTCAAGCCGGCTTGACAAGGGCAGGCCCTCCAGCGACACATCCATGCACGTCTAACTTGCGGGATAATATACTTACCATGGTAGTTCCCATTCTCTTTGCCATTGTCCCAATGTTGAGGATAACATTAATGCATTATATAACAATATACCACATGATGGGAGTAGCTGATCTTAGGGGGTGCAATATTAGGGGGAGAGGATTACCCTGGCTAGCGGGGCTAGCGTATGTGTTAGGGCCGTTAGGGTGAGAATTTCATATCCCTCAAAAATTTCATTGCGGGGGTGTGCAGTTGACATGGGCAGGAGGGATCCGAATAGTTGAATCACCTATCCCAAACCTTAAACCCTAAGGGCAGTTGGGATATGAAGATCTGAAAATCTGAATAGCTTGGAGATGTGCTGGCTGCATTCCCTAATCTCCAGCACCTTTGGAGACATTGTGTTTTCCAGGCTTACGGACTTAATGTTTACAGAGGAACCCATCAGACGACTGTTACTGGGTGTAAGCTGTACCCAACCTCAACCCTGAACCTACACCCTACAACCCAGAACCCGTGACTCTTGACCGCCCCTTTTACAAAACCCCTAAACCCTAAACCCACCTAAAGCCTAAACCCTGAACCCTAAAACCGGAAACCCGAAATCCTAAACCCCAAACCCTAAACCCCAAACCCGAAACCCTAAACCCTAAACCCTTAAACCCCTCAACCCCTACACCCAGAACCCATCTTCCGGAGGAGGGCCTCACCCTGCTGCAGCTGTCCGCCCTCCCAGAGCTCCTTCAGCCGTGCCCGCACCTAAACTGGGCCGTTGCTAAGGGACTTAGACGGGTCTTAGGGTTAGGGTTTATGGGTTTAGGGTTCAGGGTTGGGGGTTTAGGGTTTAGGGGGTTTGGGGTTTAGGGTTTATGGGTTTTAGGGTTTTGGGGCGGTAAGGTTTAGGATTTAGGCTTTAGGTTCTATGGGTCTTAGGGTTTAGGGTTCCGGGTTTAGGGCTAGGGTTTAGGGTTCAGGATTTAGGCGTTAGGATCGGGTTTACGTGGCGTAGGGCTTGGGGCTTAGGATTTGGGGTTTAGGATAATCCCCGAATAGAGAACCTCTGACTCTCACATGACTCTGACAGAGTCCTTGTTATAGGGGTTAAGATTGCAAAGCCGTGAACCCTAGTATGCATACATTGCGTGAAATATGTAATTTCCTTCTTATGGTAACTTAACTGCAAACTCTTTGAGAGCAACCAAGTCAAGAAGTATCCACTGAGTGACAGCCCAGCCAACCGCTTGCTCTCGGCTTTCTTCAGGTCCCCATGTACTGGGTCTCTGGCTGCATCAGCTTCAGCAGCAGCAAGAAATCTAGGCCGGTCGGCTAAGCTTTCAGGGTTGAGTAAGGACGGAGGGGGGTGTATGAGGGGCATACATCTGTTTTGTTTTTGATCTACACAGGCCAGGCCATCAGCATGTCGAGTGCTTGCCCCTAATCTGATTTTCACACACCTGGGCCCCCCTAATATTGAATCTTTCCGAAAAACAAACAAATAGATTACGATACATTGTGACTAAACCCTAAACACCTAAACCCTAAACCCTGGACCATTAACCCTCAACCCCTCAACCCCTAAAACCCTAAACCCCTAAACCACTCAACCCTAAGCCCTAAGCCCGAGACCCTAAACCCTAAAGTCATCCGGAGGTTCTGGGAACTGGGATAGGGTTTAAGTATAGGGTTTAGGGTTGAGGGGTTTGGGGGTTCGGGATTTGGGAACTGGGATACCAGGACAGTTTTGGATCTAAGGGTATTAAATTGAGATGCGATCTCATGGACCTATAATCGGCCCTATCTAGATCCTATAGGCAAGTGTGAGGTATAACCCAAAACCCTCCACCCATCGTGATGCTTCAAGCTGAGAAAGGAAAGGTCTCCCAATGACTGTTTTTGCCAGCATGAAAGGGATCTTAGCACTCTGGGAGCGTGGGAAGTCTGACCCAAACGTACATGAAAAGCCATGAGACGCAGCCCCTTAAGCCCGAAACGATGGTTTCCATCTTCCTTTCCGTCATCCCAACAAAGGGACCCCTAACAGTGAATATTCTTGGGAAGTGTAGCCGAGGCGCTGCGCGTTCTCTTGTTTCCAGTCCTTGTCTAGACCTATTTCCCTGAAATACGCCACTCTTCAGCGACCCTAGTAGTCGGTAGTTAGGTTGGAACGCCCCCAAAATCCTTCAGGCAAGGTAAGTAGTTGATGTTCGGATGAGGGCTATGGTGAACCCTAAAGCCTAAACCCACCTCTTTTGTCTGAAGGGTTCATGGCTCTGAGAGAGGGGACTAACACCTCAAACCCTGAATGTAGCAGGATTCGTATTGAAAAAACATCATGTATGCACACATGCCCACACACGGCTCTTCGCCCTAGGCAATGATTTAATGAACAATGTCACAGACCCTTCGGCCCTAGTCCCTGAGCATTCTGAAGCCCCAAGACGTTGTTTTCCTCAAACCCTGGCAAAGATTCATTGTGGTAGGCAAACATTTACCGAGGCTTGTCAAGCAGTTTCAGCTTGGCTGAGGCAAGCGCCCGTCATGCCATCCGAACCCTGACCGGATTGGACGCATGTTGGCTTCAAAACATTCTGGGTGGTCCTTCAAGGACCCCCAAGAATCAATTATAAATAGGACCCCTTATAAAACAATGACGCAAATGAATACTTTGTAGCTTCCCAAAATAGGGGAACCCCAATATAGACCCTAATATACTATAATCCTGTTTGATTATGGGGACCCCCAAAGGGGTACCCCGAATTTTGGGAAACTCCCAATTATGCTAAATGCCACCCAGAAATTCAAGGTTCCGGATTGGCTTAGCTTTGCTCGGCGGGTAAGATTCACAGCTTGAAGAGCTTGGGCTTGATTGGGGCTCAATCACTTTTGGCTGCATAGAAGTGGACCCCCGCTGCCCCAAAATCCTTGGATTAGGGTATATTATTTAGATAATGTACATAAATACAATGTGACGGGAAAGCGCGACTGCGGAACCACGCCCCGGTGAACTGGGGCATGCACCGGGTATGCGCCGGGTACGCCGGG